CATCCTCCAGTTCCTTCCATAAACTCCGCTAGAGATCGTTAAGTGCACCGTTGTCTCTACCGAAAGCTAGCTTCCGAGAAACACCATCCAGCATCGCATGAGCTGTTTTTTTCCGAGCTTCAACATGACCGAAGGAATTTTTATTCCATTGCAAGCAAGCAGTTGTAAAATCAGTAATATTTGAACACCAATCTTCTTCCCCGTTCCATTCACGTGATACAAATTTATCAAACTGGTCGTGAAGTACCCAAGATGTGATAAAACGAAGTAGTCGATTCTGCCGCTTCTCCCCCATCAAGATGCAGAAGAATGGTGCAGTGGTCAGACTTGTAGCAAGGGAGATGTGTCACATCTGCATCAGGAAAAACATTTGCCCACTGCTCATTGCAAATGAATCTATCCAACCTCACTTCCACCTCCCCTCTCTTCTTCGTAAACTCCGGTCCTTTGTACTCCGGATCATGAAGTTCATTGAGATCAAACCAGGAAATGAATTGAATTTTCAATGAATTAGTTAGTAATCGTCTTTAAAATTATAAACTCGACTTTTTCATAATGTTTTCTCTTTATTTAACAGGATGTCCCAATTAAAAAATATTATTAATTATACTTCCTAATTTAGTCAAAAAATTTCATTAATTACACGTTAAAAGACTCAAGTGCCTCATATTTTTAAACATGATAATTTAGAAAAAAATGATTTATAATATTGAACAAAGGAGCTATATACATACATATGTACATACGTGCTCCCTCCACTTTCAAATATAGGAAAAAAATAATCAATTCAAATAGTTTAAAAAAGTTTATTAAATATAATAATTATGTTTGAAATTAAAAATTTTGAATTATATTATCCCTGCAATTTACGAAACAAAATTGTTTAGTGAAAATGAACATTGAATTTATGAGGTATAATCTATAAAAAATAAGATAAATGTTTCTTGAAATTTATAGTTCTGGTATAAATAAAAAAAAATAGATGATAGTTATATATATATATATATATATATATTAAAGAAACGGAGAGAATATGTACTTACATACGCACACGTACGTACATTGCAACCTAGAAGTAAATTAAGGTAACTCCATAGGAAAATGTAAAAACCACTATAACAACTGTGTCAATTATTTTTCATGCATTTTATATTTTCTTAATTACATTTGGATTGACAAGGATAACGAAAATAAAATTAAGGCTATATATTAATTTTGCATTATATTTCAACTTTATACGAACGTACTATTCTTATGAATGGGAGTAATACATGGCCCGGACACCTATGACATTTTCTCAATGTGCCACACAACCAAGTCATGGGCTACATTTTTATTTTCCAAAATCCTTTTAACAATTTTTTTGTTGTGTGTGACTTTATTGTAATTTGTTTCTTTTGAAAATTGATTTCCCTTTCTTTCTTTTTTTGTGCTGCCTTCAGAAAGGTTTTAAGATGGCTTTGAATTAGAAACTGTGTGATCACCTAGCAAGGACTTCGAATATTTGATCCTCATATTATCTCCACTTTAAAGTTATCTTACTGTTATCTTATGACACGTTTGATATAAGGGAATTGAGGGGTGGAAACAAACATGGAAATAGAATTGAAAATTTTAAATTTTTGATTTGGTGAAATTAGATAAAAAGGATCTCTCAGTTTTATAAATATACCAAACAAATTTTAAATCCATATCCATATCTATATTCATCTCCATCTCTATTTTCATTTCCTACAAAATCATTTCCACAAATCATACGGCTCCACTCAAGACTTTGTTAGTAAGTAGCGTAAAGGAATAATGTGATAGAGGGTTGTGAAAATTTATAGAGCATTATATACACGCGCACAGACATATAGCTTTTTTTTTCCCCTTTAATAAACTTAGCTATCGGATATCTAAATTGGGGTAGTTTTTTCAAACATGCGTAAGATAATAATTTTCTTAAAGCAAACAATAAAAATACGTATTTATAAAATATAGCCACGATATAACAATTTTCTAAAAGCAACAATAAAAATATCGACTAAGACGGCTATATCTTGGAAGAAAACAAATGACAATGAATAACCTGGATCAAGAAATGTTCCAAAGACAGAAATCTTGAGCATAGCCACGTCTTTGTTAACAAGTTCATCATCTGATCGTATACTAAATAGTGCCGGTTAATTAATTAAGAAAAGAATATCCTAAATAATTTTCTGAGCGTAACGTCTGTATATGTGGCATTGTGCTTATCGTCTCTCGTTTGTTATGTACCACACGTTGGCGCGCGTGAGTAATATTGCTATATGTTTTATTGTTTTTTATGGAACGGGAAGCATTATCGCGTTGTCGTATCCAATAAGACAGCACTCCCTCCAGATCAATTATAAAATACTTCTGGATAAAATTGCATGTATGAAGTGTCAGTAAAATTTATTAAATATGTTCTTTAATTTTACTTTTTTTTAAATAAAAATATACATTTTTAAAAATATCCTTCATTTAATATAAAAATTAAAGAGAGAAAGAGGATATAATTATGAGGGTTAAGTAACATTGAAAAAGTATATTTAATGAAATTTTATTTTTATAAAATTTTCTTATATTTTGGTAAATCAAATTACTCCTAAAATTATTTTATAAAAACTAGGATGGAGGTAATACGTATATTATATTACTATTCTTTTCTAGAAACATTAAAGATATTTAGATTATAGCTAAAATATACTTTTAGTCCTTTAAATTTAAATAATGCTTCAGTTTATTCCTTTAATTTTGCAAAATATCTTTTTAGTCTTTTAACCTTAACATCGTTAGTTTCAAATGATTATTTTTTGTGTCAATTATTATTATTTAAAAAAATTAAATTTAATGTCAAAATTTTAGAATATTTTGTCAATATTTAAAAGTTCAATGTGAAAATTTGTTGGGATAAAACTAACAATATTAAGGTTAAAGGACTAAAAATACACTTTATAAAGTTAAGAGACTAAAATAAAATATTGTGTTAAATTAAAAAACTAAATGTATACTTTAACCTTAAATTATTGTTTACAGATATAAAGGCATGACCATAATAAAATAAAGGGAAAATGACAAAACAAATCTTATTATTAGAATAGGAAAGTGATAAAATATAGTATCATGAAATAGGATAATTAGTCTGAAATCCATATAAACTTATATGTCATAGATTTCTTTGCAAAATTATATTTATGACCCTCAACAAAATAATAGAAAAAATGTTATTAAAATATAAACCAAAGTTGTTAATTAGTAAGCATAATTTTTATTGCATGACTAAAAATTATGAACAACTATGTTTTAAATACTTAAACTGAAGTTATTAATCACTATGCTGGAAGTTGTTAATATAGGAAATTTAGTTGTTATTACATAACTAAACTAACACCAACGCTTTCTACATTAAAAACTTTACCTTTATTTTTGACAGCATTAGTTTATTATATATTAATAACTATGCTTTCTGTTATTTTACTTATGGTCATAAAAATAATTTTACAAAAAAATAAAAATAAAAATTATGACATATATATCTGTAACGACTTTAGAGTAATTACCGCATTTCGTTGTAATTATTTCTCATTTCCCTTTCAATAGGATTTATTTGCATTCTTCCGAAATTAAATTACATGTTTTGTACTTATTTTTAATATTTTAATAAAAGTTTTGGAATGCAAACTTCAGTATCAGCTCTGCTAACTCATTCACACCGAAGAGATCGAATGTACCGATCTCCTCCGCTTGTGTCTTTTTCATTTCTTGGATATCATGTTCGTGTCTGCATATTATTACAGGTGATCAATATTAATATCGCAAAATAGAACTTAATTTTAAATCCAAAAGTTTTATGTTTCAATATGTCAGATCACTTGCCTACCATTAGAAACAAGTTAACGATGATAATTATAATGATGATGATGACCACCACCACCACCATCAACTAAAAGCACCTTCCTCTTTCTTTGTATCTGTTTATATGCGTCCATCAAGAATGAAATGTAAAGGAATTTCCTCCCACCAATTTAAACCTATGACTTGAAGGCAACATAAAGTTGACCTAATGGTAATGGGCCATGCCCGTCAATAATACAATTAATACAAATGCCAAACATTGGGCTCACATATATTGTTCAAGTTAAGCCCATTTTTTTCCCAAAAAAAAAAGCTTTTCAAGCATTATACATTACAAAGAGTGAATTCATTTTAGTTGCGTTTAGATAAGTGAATTTAGGTTAAAAATTTAAATTTTAAATTTTATATTTAAAATTGATAAATTATAAACTCTTTGTTTGAATAATATAAAAAATTTTAAAATATAATATGAAAATTATTTGTTTGGATTTAAAGATAACTCATATGACATCAATGTTTCAATTTTGATTAAGGGTGTTTGCTTGTTCTTGATTGACTCTAGCTGTTCAAACTCGGATCATAGATTAGCAATGGTAGTTCAATTCTAGTTCACATCAACAATTCAATCTCAAACAACGCGTATGTATTAGCATTGGACTATGATAGCAATTTGAGGGCTGCAAATTGGACTAATAGGACAACACAAACCATTTTTTATTAACAGCGGTGTTTGGCATCAATCAACGAAGGCGAATGGATTGAAGATAGTAATCAAAGAAGGATCTCAGATAGCCATGGTGGCGGCCGACTGACATCATTTGGATGCAATGAACTAGCTGTAATGACCCATAAAATATTCATTAAGTTGGAGTAAATAATAAGATAACTAATTATATTTTATTGATTTTAGGGATAGATTTAACAAGATGTATTATGGTTTAGTGGAGATTTTCTTGGTGCCCATCTATTAGGTCTCAAGTTTGAATCTTCCTAGTGTAGGGAGGGATTTTATTTTGCTTAATTCCTTGGATTTTATTAAAATACCCTTTAAATATATATATATATATTATATATTTATTTATTTATTTATTTATATATTAGATTTCTTTTATTTCCTCCTTCCCCAATATTTCGATTGATCCTCTGACCTAGGGAGATAGAGAGCTTCGAGGATTCTCCTCCTCCACCCTCCCTTACCACGCCATTACTCTTGTCCCTTTGTTCACTTCTTTCATTGTTCTCCGTCTTCTTGTTCATTGCCGGTGATTGTGTGCAGAGCAACTCAGCTTGACGACACTGCAGATTGAAGTTTTGGGTATTGAGGTCTGTATGCTCCTTCCCTGTTTCGCATCGTCAAGGCCTTCTTCCTCAATCCTGCGTTGCTTATTCTTCTTCCTTATCGTTGTTGTTTGCATCACTACCGTTCTTCTTCCTCTATTTACTTCGTGCTGGTACTGTCTTCAGGAGTGAGGAAGAGCTTCATAACCTGTTTTCCCCTTCTCCTTTACTCCTTGGTGAGTTTAAACTTCATCCTTTTTCCTTTCTTGCATTGGACCTGTGAATGTGTTGATTGGGTTGTTACAAATTTGTGATTTTTCCTCTTTGTTCCAGCTGATACGTGATTGTGAATTAGAAGGGGTTCGGTCAAATTGAAATTTGAATGTGAACTTGGTTTTTATTTGAGTTGAAAAACTGATATCGTTCAACAAATGATATGCGATGATTTCAAGAACTTGCATTTGAATTTTTCTTTCATGGATCTAACTTCTATTTTTTTTATTTTTGTATAATAGAATTTTAAAACTTTAACTGTCAAACTCTATTCAATGGTGGTTCTGTTTTCTAGTTTGTCATACCTTGAATATTGTCTTTTAAGGGTTCTTTAATCTTTAGTGCTGCCTAGGTAAAGAAAAGCGCGTGAAGCGTGGCTATTGTCCATGATTACAAATAGGAATGTTCAGCTTATACTCGATTTGATTAGCCTGATATTGTTCTAATTATATCAGGAGGGGTTTCATCCTGGCTTAAAGACAATTAGAAGGAGACTTTACAAGATGGAACAAAAAAAGAATTTGGGATGGAATGAGACGCGAGATTACTATCGAGACATCCTGTCCCATCCCAAATAATATATATATATATTATTTTTATTTTAAAATTATACATTAAATATATTAATTATATTAATATAATTTATATTTATATTAATTCTATCAATTATAATTTCAATAATTGCAATTCTTATATAAAACTAAAATTTTTCATATTGATAATTTTAATGACATAAAGTAAACATGATGATATCTTTCTTTATAATATATTAATTATATTAATACATTTATTCTTATATTTATCTATTTAATAACTTTTATTTATATCATATTTTTTGTTTTATTTTCGAAAAAATAATTAGCTTAGCACATCTCAACTAAAGTAGAAGAACAATGATTTGATGTTGTGTTTGGTTTGCCTATTATTGCTGCTTTTATTGTCTAGAAATTACTTATAATTGCTATCATAATGTGTAGTTATGATTAATGTAATTTAATAATTGACTCTAAATCATTATGATTTATGTACTTGTATTATTTTAATTTTAAACTTAATAAATTATGTGATTTAAAATTTTAATGAATATTATTATCCAGATCTTTTTTTAATATTGTCTGATTTATTGGGACGGCGGGACGTCCCGATTTCTAATGGGATAGTATGACTTTTGGGATGAGACGAGACATGAGACAAAAATTCAGTCTTGATCTTTTTTCAAAACAGGACAAGGAACACCCCTAATTACAAGGAGTGAAGCATGTGAATAAAGAGTCATATATATGGTCTTACAAATTCTATAATAGAAAAAAAAGAAAGGAAAAGAGGAAGAAGGGAAAAATTGATTTATTTTTGATGTGACATTTTAACTTGTTTAAAGATAGACTTATGAATGTCTACACATTTAATCTTATTCATTTTTGTAGCTATTCGGTTACCATCATAATATTTAGAGATAATGGTTTGATTAAAGGTTTGATAAATGAAGCTAATTGAATGGGATAAAGATGATTAGTAATGTTAAATAAGATATGGTAGAATTTGTTTATTTTCTATATAACATAAAAAAACCTCAAATATTGTTTATATGTATGTATGTTGCATATTTATTTATTAAAATTAACATGGCATTTTATTTGTGAAAGATTGACGAGGATATTTTCTTTCTATCTCTCTAATTTTGTTTGGATTGGAAATTTTGGGTTTATAAAGTGTTAAAAGGAAATAACAATAATGTCCCTTTGACCATTAAGGAATTCAAGTGCAGTCAATATTACAAAAGTGGTTAATTAAGAGTAATTTATCTATTTGAGAATATTTCAAATAGGTGAATAACATCCCAAATGACTTATTAATAAGTTTATTTTTTTCACAATAATGTTTAAGTACATTCATAACTATTTGTATAATTATATTTTAAATTTTGTTATCAACTGTCATGAATTAAAATATGTCTATTGTACAAAGTTTTATAAGAAGAGTTAGACTTATTTTACAATTGGGTGACTACCATTATTTGATGAATTGACAATGTTTGATTTTATAGTTTAAGGAATGATTTATTATTATGACTTATGCATACTTGATTTAAAGTATGGGATTGAATCAAAATGCTAGTTGCTAATGACAGTTCCGTTGGCCTTTAACATGCCATGGTACACTTAACTAGTAGGGTGTTTGTAGGAGGTACTAGACTCGTACGCAGGCCAATGCACGTTGAAAGGAGGGAAGGATATCTGTGAGCATTTTACTCTTTGTGGTTTCTAGCCATGCTTGACTGGTTACTTACCCTCATAGACACTGTGTCCAGCTTGTTATTCATTTTAATAAAGTCATGCCAAAAAATATATTTTTAAAGTATTGTTTTTAAATTAATCCTATTAAACAAGCTAGTTTTCATGAAGGTATCTTATATATTTCCTAACTATTTGATATGAGCCTGATAGTTGGAGAGTAGAATTTGATAGTAGTATTCTCATCATATGAATATATTTTTAGACCAAGTGTTAAATGTAATTATTTGTTTCAGTTATGCACTCTTCCTATTTTAAATGATTATTTTGTTAAATTCATGCTTATTTTATTCATATTTCTTTCTTTTACTTCTTTTAGTTTAAAATTTGGAACGTTACTCATTAGAAATAATATTTTTGGTCTCAGATTATATAAGCTGAACTTGTGCCTCAAGATGTTAATTGAGGCATTTTATCACTGAAATGGAATGGAAGAATTATTTCAAATGTTTGTTTGATGTAAATTTGAACCTATAATAATTTCATGGTTTGTTCTTAGGTACTCCACATGTACTATAGGTAGGACTCTCTTCTTTCTTTTAAGATTGTACATCTAGAGATCCTTTTATTTTATTGTTGTTTTTCTCTGTCGTACATTTTAGGAAATTTTATTTACATGAAGGTTCTATTAAAAAAATTTTATAAGAAATTTATTGTTTTGTTTATATGAAATCAATTAAAGATAATATATTTTATAAAAAAAATATGCCTATAGTTTTGCATTAATAAACCTACATATGTCCAAGGCTTAAGGAATATGGGTTTTACACATATATTTCATGTTGGTTACACCTTAATTTTTGGGGCATTACATTAGCACTAAGTAGTGGTAGTAGACTAACACCATGCGATAGTAGTAGATTGGCATTCAATGGTAATTGTGGCGCCATATTAGCATTGTGACTAAAAGTGAATTGAAATTTGAAATTCCTAAACCCGACTAATGCTGGCAGTTTGGTCCTTATTGAAGATAGTTATTCGGTCTCAGACGGCACAGGCATTCTAGTTTCGATCAGTATTGGTTGTCCGATCCCTATCGAAGTTAGCTGTCTTATTAGTCACTACTAGTGGTCTAATCCTAGTGCATATATTATTTTCAATTTAGGAAATTATTTTATCTTGTTTTAAATTCAAATAAGGATATAATATATCTATTAGGATATGATCTATCCATTTGGAATCCTAGATTGATTAGGATATGATCAATTACATCATTTAGGCTTTCAAAAATCTATTTAAACAATTAAACTTTTTGTATTTTTTTTAAAAAGACTTGATAGAATTTTATAAATTGAATTTTCTTTTAATTATGAGATTATTTCAATTTGTGTTGTTCTTTTTAAGATAATACATTGTGGGATTTTGAGTTATCATGAGCTATCATTCGATTGCCTGTATCACATACAAGATTATTTTCCAAACATTTGTCATCCAAACAAACTGGACAAAAATAATTTGCAAAACTGTACCTTATATCCTTCCATGCACCTTGCTTAGAACCAAGTCACCTGGCCAAACAGGAATTAGTTTAAGCTACTAACCATTCATTCGATCCAATGAGGGCTTACCATGTGGTTGTAATCTTTGGACAAAATTCCTAACATCACATATTTCAATGCAAACCTAACAAATCATGTGTATTTTAATCATTTCCTCACAAAACATTTCCAAAAAAAAAACGTGCTTTTGCACAATAGTTATACGAAATATAGTGCTCATGTACGATTCACTCTATTTGACAATTAATTTTCCACACAAGAATATATTTTTTCCCACACATAACATAATTTATCTAGCATAATAAAGTCACACATAATCAATCACACACACATCCCCCCATCACACATTAAAAATGATAACCTTTGGTCCTTGCTAATAGAGCTCCTTGAACAAGTGGACTATTACCTCCAATGGTATCAATATATCATGATCTACAAATATTGTGACACTAATTATTGTTAATACAATGCTAATATAGCTAATCAAAGTGTCTACATAATAATCACACTGTAATCCTAGGGCTATATTAATTAACCTAATTAACCCAAATGCTTCCCATACAATTAAATCATCATATTAGTCCTCTTCAACTTTAATATACCTCTCAATCACAAATTTAACTTCTAAACACTCAAATTATCATAAAACATCATCCTCTTAGTGTAGGGTTTTTAGATTGATGTATCCCATTGCCTCAAACACATTAAAACAACTTCAATTACACTTATTTATCCTCAAAACACCATAAAATTTGAACCCAAGGGCTGGTTAGCACCAAAAACAAAATCCTAACAACACCTATGAGGATATCTAAATTAAAAATAAAGAGAGGAAGTAGAGAAGAGGTTAGGATGATTACCTTAGGGTTTTTTTATGCTCAAGTCCATGCAAAATAATGGCTCTTAACTAAACCCAAGCAAAGCAATGAATTTTTGCACCTAACCTCACTCAAGTCTCCTCCTTTTTGTCTAATTTTTGAGCTAAAACAATAAGTATTGAAAATGTGTTGTATGCCATGGCATACATGCACATGCTGTGGCATATGCCATGATGTTGAAAAAGCTCACTTAAGCTCAATAATTTGTACCCAAGTCAATCCAATACCTATTGTGAACCACAAATAAACCCTATAGAAGATGATCTTACACACAACTTAAATCATAATTAAAAGCCTAAATAATTGATTAACATCCATAAACCTAAATCCTCTATCAACTCCTCAAAATACATGATTATTCAATTAAATCCTTAGATCAATACATTTCCTTAATTAAATCCTTAGGCACCCATATTTCCTCTTTTAAAATAATTCCTCAAGTTGAATTCCCCCAATTATTCACAACTTTCATAATGAGATCCCTACATGAAATTTAGGATGTTACATAGCAATTGAAAAAGAATGAGAAGAATAGAGGCGAAAATGAAGAGAGTAAGGATACCTTAGGGTTCTTGTTGTAAATTGAAGGATAGACAAGATTTTAATTTTCAAGGTGCCTTTCACTATCACCTGAGTTAAGGAACTTATCATTGTATGTATTTTTCTTTTCCCATTCAATTATTCTCTCTAGTCCTATTTGTAGGATAGATAGTGAAAATTTTTTTTTAATCATATTTATAAGTCATGTCATTAAATTTTTATCATTAATTTTCCTTTTTGCTCTCTATTAAATGTTGGAGAGAGAAAAAATATTATTAACGTATGTATATTTAATAGAGATAAATTTGAAAACATATTAAATCTTCAGAAAGGGCTAATGAGTTTTAAGGTTTTTCTTGATTTTAATAAAATATATTAAAAGTAACTTATAAATAAGATCAAATGAGTAGATCTTAAGTATCACTTTAATTGAACTTTGGAGGTGGGAAGCAATATTAAATTTGCTTTACAATATAAATAAGAAAAATTACACCCAAGTACTTTACAACTTGGTTAAATACTACAAGGTTCATTAACAAAACATAATTATTGACTTTGTGGTGTGTAATTATGTTATGATAACCTAATAAATATAAGGGAGAATTTCACTAAGGACCATCAAAATGAACTTATTAATTGTTAGGTCCCAATGCAATCTAAAAATACATTGCAGGCTTAAGATCCTTCAAAGTAATAAAATTTTAGGTATTGATTACCAAGATACCCTAATCTTTTTTTTTTTTAAAAAAAAGTATCCTAATCATTGATAGTTGGAGCCATTATGCTAGCCACCAGAGCTTTGTTGTTGTTAGGAAGTTGCCATTATTGGTGATAGGAACACTGCCACCAACCCTTAAAGCTCTAGTATCATGGTCAAACAAAGGTGAACTGGTTAAGAGTGGATTTGAACCCTTGACCCCTTAGTTTCTCAAAATAAAGAAAACCATTAAGCCAACAAACACTTTAACATGTAAATTATGTATATATATATATATTTATATTATAACTTTGACTTTCAAACATTTTCATTTGCTTTTGAAAATTCAAGAAATATTATTGTTATTATGTCCAAATGATCATTTATAAATATTTGTAAATAACTTATTCATACATAAAAAAGTTATCTATTTTTTAAAATCCAACTTATTCTATTTTTATTTACAATTTCGTTCAATGTTGACAAGTTATTAATATTATGCTAAATAAAAATATATATGTTATAAATTTATTTCCCATGCATTTTCATGGGTTTTTGTTGATCATAGACATCTTGTTATTAATATCTGAACAATCACCTATAAATATTCAAATATGGCTTGTTCATATATAAAAAAAGTTTTCACTTTTTTTTAAAACTCAAGGGTTTTATGGGCTTTCATAGAACAAATTTATAATAGATATATTTAGGAAATGATTTGTAAAAAATCAAACAAGTTTTGCCTTTAAAATTAACACTTTATGTATTAACAAATCATGGTATAATAGTTACATGTAATTGTTTGGATGTTAACAACAAAATCTCCATGATTATCAAAAGCCCATGAAAATGCTTGACAAATAAATTTATAACATATATATTTTTTGTTTAGCAATTCATAACTTGTCAATATTGAAAAAAACCAAGTTTTTAAAAATAGAATAAGTTGGGCTTTAAAAAATAATAACTTTTTTGGTTAATTAACAAGTCATATTCAAATGTTTATAAATTATTATTCAGATATAAATAAAATATCTAGAATATGCAATAATAGATGAAAATGCTTGAAAGTTAAAGTTATATATATATATATATATATTCACTTTATGTACCAAAGTCCTTGCTGGCTTAATGGTTTCTTTTACTTTGAAAAATTGAGGGGTCAAGGGTTCAATTAATCCCTTAACCCCTTAGCACATTTGGCCAATGTTTGATCATTGTGCAATAGAGCTTTGGTGGCCAATAATGGTAATTTAGCCATCAGTAGTGGCAGCCTCCTGCTGGAGCTATGGAAACTAGTGACAAGGACACTTTTAAAACAAATAGCAAGGGCATTATAGTAATTGATACTTGAAATTTTATTATATTAAAGGACCTTGAGTTGTTGTGTATTTTCAAAATGTATTAGGCCTTAACAATAAATTACTTCATTTTGAGGGCCTATATATAATTCTCCTACACACACACACACATAAATATTTACACATATTATGTATGTATATTTGTAATTTGTAGCTTTATGATAGTAAATATAAAGTCTTTCTTACTAATTCACAATTAATCTCCAAAATCAAGATAATCACAAGAATAACCCAAATAAATTGTCAAGTTTGTAAAATTTTTATAAATGGAATCACAAGTTTTCAAAACTTATAATGCTCGAAATCATATAAAATCATTTTAAAAAAATAAAATTAGAGCAAAACATGTATAAAGAAGCAAGGACATCATATAAGGTAAAATAACATCAAATTGGGGTTAAAAGAGCAAAAACAAGATTCTGGCAAAAAAACATTGTAGCATAAACTAAAGAAGCCATGAGGTAGATTTCCTGACCGAACTTCCAATGTGTACCAAGTCTTCGTTCAACGTCCAATTGAGGTGATTTAGGTGTCTATAGAAAGCTTTTTCTAAGTCTAGCTAATGCACTAGTTTCACATTCAAATCATTTCTCAATCAAAAGTTGGACATTAAAAAGAAAATTTACTCTTTTATGCTTTCAAAACATAACTAAAGTGTCCAAAACTCAATCTAACTGCTAAAAGCCCACATCAACTCTTAGACCACACTTAATGGACTATATCGAACTTGTGCAATACATCACAACATTCCAATAATACCTATATTACATTTTTATCGCTCAACCTTTTGATCATAAAGACATAAAAGGGAGCCAAAATATATAATTATACATCTAAATCACCATCATTCACAAATATACTAACTTCTTACTTGTACAAGTATTTTGGCCTTGTACAAATATCTCAACTAAAAAGATATCACACATACTAGGACCCAAAATGCACATTTTAATACTTAATATTTAATGGTGCAAGTACAATAAAATATAAACATCTTAGTTGAAAATATCAAGGCAATTACATATTAACCAAGAGTAATTGAGGCATTACAGTAGGAAATTTAATTCCTAAACCTCATATGCTTTCCCTTGTCTTGAGTAGAACTAGCGCCTGTAAAATGTTAAATAGAGGAGTGAGTACAATCACTTAGTAACCAAGGTCAATCTAGCCTATCAATTGTATGTTAATTAATTATAGATGTAAATGACAATTAAATAACTTCACAAGCACCACATACATATTTTATAATTATAGCATCAGTCATAAAACTAATAACCATATGACTGGGCATTAGTGCATATCATCACATTTATTTTAAAAATGCATATCTTAAGTCACAATAGTAACAACCATGCACCGCTAATAAAAACACATCAAACCATAATAATAATAACCATGTGGCTGGAAGTAGAATGCATGGTCAATACCAATCTTATACCCTCCTAATACCTTTAACATAAAACGAATGGCTATTCAAAGGCTACATCCAAAACTTAGACTAACCAAGCCTTCCATTCATGAGGAGCTACCGAACCATAGTTAACTCACTCACTTGTATTATGTGGTTTCCTCTAATACTAATAGCCATGTAGTGTTATACCCCTAATTTAGCCTCTTTATGAATTAGTATAGACTAGTTATGTTTGAGTCTTTCAAAGAAGAAGTGGGATAGTTCTGAATCAACTATGAGACAATAGGCACCTCCCGATTCGAATGGTTAGTACTAAGACAAGCTTCTGATTCCAATGATAAGCCGCTATTACTATGTGAGTTTACCAATCTACTCCTCTCTATAAGCAAACTCTCACTATATTGATCATGCCATACACAAATAACAAGATGTACAACATTCAAACAACAATAATCACACAATATCATGCTCACATAATTCTCTTTCTCCATTATAATCTGTAACACCCTCAAATTTACAAACCGATTTTTTGTAAATTATTAATTCAAGAAATTATTTTTTTTCATTGAACCCTTATCATACCCTTATCATGGTAGAAAAATTTCTACCATGATACACCCAAGACAATATATCACAGGTCTTAAAATATCTCAAAAAAAGCAATTAGAACCATGAGGGACAGACAGGATCCTCATGTCATGATATTCAAATCAGATCATAAATCAAGAGGGACGGACATAATCCTCTTGGTCATATAAATACTTTTAATAAAAAGGATTAGAGTTTACATGCTTCACAAAGAAGATATGTCCTAAGTTGGCACAAGATACATTGTATAATCTAAAATAAGAGGCAACGTAAAAGATGGTGTCTCATGCACCATAGTTACACCTCTGGTGCTTTCTCGGCCGGACTCGCTCCTGTAAAAATATTAACTACGGGGAATGAGACTTAAAAGTCCCAGTAACCAGAAATTAATATGTAATGATGCATGCGGATGTAACTAATCATGCGATTGTTAAATGGGCACACAAAACATTTAACCGAACAGTACTTTCAAACAAACCGAACAAGTATTTAATTTGCATGACTGCACCTTATATCCTCCTTTCGCCATGCTCGGACGCCAAATCACCCGGCCAAAGGTGAGTTGGACCAAGCGACACGCCACTCATTGGGTTCAATGAGGGCTTACCACGTGGTAATAATTAACCGAACAGAAATTCCCATTAACACCATACATTAAAATACCCTGACAAGTCATGCATCATTCAAATATCCAAACAGAAATATATCCGAACAATAATATCTCATCATGATAAACAAAAAATAAATTTTTAACCCACTTGGCAATGATTTCACAGAAGTATATAACAGTATTTATTTTTAATAATTCATAATTTTTCCAAACAACAAAATAACACATAACCATTCATAAACACGCCCATCACAACACATTAATAATGGTTACTTTGTGTCTTGAATAACAAGTTCCCCTTCACAACTCCTTTTTCACCACTATCTTTGTCAATATAATCTACATAATTATTTCACAATACTATATATTAATTTTACATTAAAATAAATAACTCTAATTTAAAGGGTTAGAAAGTCTTAGATCTATAGTCCATATTAACACTAATTTAAGATTTATGTCTCATTTAACTTCCCAAATTCTTTTCTAAAATTCTCGTACCCTAATGAACTATTTTTTTTTATCCTCAATTCACTTCTAGTATCACAATTTCATCCTTCTATATTCTAAAAATTCATCCAAAAATAAATTAAAAATTTTAGAATTATCCTGAAGCCTCAAATCACCTTTCTATAACCTCAAAAATACCTATTCATACTTAAATAAATATTTAATAATCATAGGTTTATCCCTACGTCTCAGATTCCACATAAATTCAACCATATAGATCTAGATTTTAACTCAAAAATTCTTAAACATGAGTTTCAACCTCAAAAAAATATTTTATAATATTTATTATATCCCTAAGAGTTTTAACCTATATTTTTACTCCATCATATCATCAGATTAACTATCCTATAGAAAAATCCTAATCAGAATATTTACTCTATCCTACAAAATAATCATATCACTAGAAAGCTAATATTATTTAAAAAATAACTATAAAATTAATTTTGTAATTAAATAAATTTTTAAATGCTAATCTAAACAGGAAAGCTAGAACATACCTGAAGAAAAAAAAAATAATTCCCCCTTGCGAGAAAAACGCCGAGCAACGTGAGAGGAAGAGAGAAAAATAATATAAAAATGGGATTGTGGTCCCAAAATTATATTAAAAAAAATTATAGGTTTGAATTTAATTATTCAAACCTTTGGGCCAAAAGTTACAATTTTCTCTAAATTGCATCTTAGCTTTTTATGCTTCCTAATGCACACACCCCCTCCTTTTTATATATGAAGGCACCTCTTTTCTTTCCTCATCTAACCAATGTGCGACTTAGAAACAACAACCTTCCACCCTCCCTTTTTTTTATTCCTTCTACCTTCTCTTTTTTTTAACACACAATAAAAAATTTTTTATGTATTATATCTTAACTAAATATTGCTTATGTGATTTTAAATTTAAATTTTTAAATTTATAATTAAATACCTAACCATAATATCATTTCTAAATAGCCTCAAATAATATAAATTCCTATTATTATCATTTTTTTCCTCAAAACCTAAATTCCACAATTTCTTTATTATATAAAAATCAGGATGTTACAATTCTCCCCTCCTTTTAGAAATTTTGTCCTCAAAATTTAATGCTGGTAAGCTTAGAAACTATGTACCTAAGCAAATAAATGTGGATAATCTCGCCTCATACTCTCCTCGGTTTCCCAAGTAGCATCACCTAGGGCTCCACCCTTCCAAATCACCTTCACGAGTCGGATGGTCTTATTGCACAGTTGTTTGTCCTTAAAGTCCTCAATTCGCTCTGGTTCGGATCTAGAGGTCAAATTCTCTCTCAATTCTACTTTTTTAAGTTCAATAACATGGGAGGGATCCGGGTTGTACTTCTTCAATTGTGATACGTGGAACACATTATGGATACCTGCAATCTGTGGAGGCAATGCAACTCTATATGCAGTAGATCCAATTTGCTCCAAGATCTCATACGGGCCCATAAATCTAGGTGTCAACTTTTTTGCCTTAATGGATCTACCAACGCCTGTCACCGGAGAAACCTTTAAAAATACATGATCTCCTACTTCAAACTCTAACGGCCGTCTTCTTTTATCGGCATAGCTCTTCTGTCGGCTCTGAGCTGTTAGCAATTTTTGCTTAATCATTGCAATCTTCTGGGTGGTCTGCTCTATAATTTCTGGACCAATGATACTCCTTTCACTTAATTCTGTCCAACACAAAGGCGATCTACACTTCCTTCCATACAAGGCCTCATAAGGCGCCATCTCAATACTAAAATGATAGCTATTATTATAAGCAAATTTAGCTAATGGCAAATGATTATCCCAACTACCTGGTAGTTCAATGGCACAAGCTCTCAACATGTCCTCCAAAGTCTGGATCGTCTTCTCTATTTGTCCATCTGTTTGGGGGTGGTATGCGGTGCTAAAACTTAGTCTGGTACCCATAACCTTCTATAGCGCACCCCAAAAGTTTGAAGTGAACCTTGGGTCACGATCTGACACAATTCTAGAGGGTATACCATGAAGTCTAACTATCTCCTTAATGTATATCTTAGCAAATTTTTCTAATGTAGAGGTAAACTTGATCACCAAAAAGTGAGTCGATTTGGTGAGTCGGTCTACTATCACCCAAATAGCATCCTTACTCGAGGGTATTCTTGGCAGTCCAGTGATGAAATCCATGGAAATATCATCCCATTTCCACTTTGGAATATCTAACGGTTGCAGTGTTCCAGCTGGCTTCTGATGTTCTATCTTTATCTTCTGACACGTTAAACATCTAGAAACAAATTCAGTTACATCTTTCTTCATTCCTGGCCACCACCAACCTCGCTTCAAATCATGGTACATTTTAGTTATACTGGGATGAATTGTATATTTGCTCCTATGAGCTTCTTCTAAAAGGATATTCCTCAATCTTGGATCATTAGGTACACAAACTCTACCTTTATACCTCATCACTGTATCCTCAGAGATGGTAAAATTTGGGGCCTTACCTACCACTATCTCCTTCCTTATATTCCTTAAGTAGTCATCACTCTATTGTGAGACTTTGAGATCTTCCCAGAATTTACTCTCAAAGTCTGCTACCTGGAGTGCGGCCATTTGATGTTCAATCACATCTACTGGAACATCATGAAAACTGTTCCATAAATGATATTCATGAACCATCAAATGTGCAGCATGAATAGTCTTTCTACTTAAGGCGTCAGCTACCACGTTAGCCTTACCCGGATGGTAATGTAATTCAAAGTCATAATCCTTCAGAAATTCCATCCATCGTCGCTGCCTCATATTAAGCTCTTTTTGATCAAATAAATACTTCAGGCTCTTATGGTCACTGAAGATTTGAAACTTAAATCCATACAAGTAGTGTCTCCATATCTTCAGAGCAAACACAATTGCAGCTAACTCCAAATCATGAGTAAGGTAATTTTCCTCGTGTGGTCTCAACTGTCTGGAGGAATAGGCAACCACTCGGTCATTTTGCATCAAAACACATCCTAAACTCTTTAAAGAAGCATCAGTGTACAGAGTGTACGGCACCACAGGGTCAGGAATAGTCAACACTGGAGTAGTGGTTAACCTCTTTTTCAATTCTTAGAAAGCAGCTTCACATTTGTCAGTCTAAATAAATGGGGCATCCTTCTTAGTCAGCTTAGTTAAGGGCATCGCAATTTGCGAAAATCCCTTAATAAAGCGACGATAATAACCTGCTAAACCTAGAAAGCTTTGTATCTCTGTAACAGATTTTAGCTGTTCCTACTTCATCACTGCATCAATCTTGCTAGGATCCACCGCAACTCCGTCTCTGGACACAACATGGCCCAAAAACTTTACTCTTGGAGCCAAAATTCACACTTGTTTAATTTGGCATAAAGCTTATATTCCCTAAAACTTGCAAGACGATTCTTAAATGCTCACCATGAGCCTCCTCATCCTTTGAATAAATAAGAATGTCATAATAAACACTAGTACAAACTTATCTAAATAGGGTCGAAAGATCCTATTCATGTAATCCATGAATACTGCAGGAGCATTCGTAAGTCCAAACGGCATCACCATGAATTCATAATGCCCATATCTCGTCCGAAATGCTGTCTTAGGTATATCCTCTGCTCTCACTCTCAATTGGTGGTACCCTGACCTTAAGTCAATCTTTGAGAAAACTGCGGATCCCACAAGCTGATCCAGCAAATCATCGATTCTCGGAAGTGGATATTTGTTCTTGATGATTACTTTGTTCAATTGTCTATAATCAATGTACAATCGGAGGCTTCCGTCCTTCTTCTTTACAAAAAGGACTGGAGATCCCCAAGGTGAAACACTCGGTCTGATAAAACCCTTCTCAAGTAGCTCTTCAATTTGCTTTTTCAGTTCCGCTAACTCTGAAGGGGACATCCGATAAGGAGCCTTAGAAATTAGCCCTGTACCGGGTACCAATTCAATTAAGAACTCTACCTCATGCTTTGGGGGTAAACCGGAGACTTCGTCTGAAATACATCCGCAAATTCTTTGACAATTGGGATATTCTTCACGCCTTCATCAATCTCAGCTTGGATAGAGAAGAAAACCATGTAGGCCTGGCAACCCTTCTTTATACATCTATCAACTTGCGCCGCCGACAAGAAAACATGATCTTGAGTCTCGACTGGGGTCACCGACAAAGAAGATAAAGACACACTCCTCTCTCTACAATCTAGAATAACACCATTTGTAGCCATCCAATTCATTCTCACAATTACATCCATACCTCTCAGTGGTAGGATAATTAAGTCCATAGTTGTTTTCCTATTTTTAAACTTGACCACTAGGTTAAGGCATGCCTTAGTAGTCCTCACAGATTCTCCCGTAGGAGTAGACACATTCATATCAAAAGGTAAAATACACACAGGCAAATCAAGGTTCTTTACACAAGTTTCAAAAATAAAAGAGTGTGTAGCACCCGAATCAAATAGTGTAACAATATCATGATGAAGGATTTTGATGTTACCTCTAATGGCATCCGGGGAGTTCATGGTGTCCTGAGTAAGAGCAAATACACGGCCAGAGATAGTAGGATATTGGGAAGGGTTCTTCATATTTGAGCCCTGGTTGTCCCCACAAAACTTTGCAATATGACCGAGTTTCCCACAAATGTAACAGACCCAGCACTGTCCGAAATGACGACGCCCGTATTTAGTGCACTGCTGAGAGTTTGCTGTACTCGGGGTAGGGGTAGATATTGTTGGGCTCCTCTGTGACCCGTGATAACTACTATGATAGCTCCTCTGTCCTTGGCCCTTTGAAATAGATCCTTTTGCCTTTCTTGGTTTCATGAGCTACTCGAACCCTGATGGTTTTTCTTCATAATGCCTCCGGTGGGTCGAGGGTAGGTTGGGGGTCTACTATATGAATAACCCCTCTTCTCTCTCTCGACCTCCTTCTTACTGCGAGCTACTACTTGTAGTTTTATGCACATTTCATCATAATCTCGGATATCTAGATGAGCCAATTGTTCCCTCATTTCTGGTCTAGCCTTCTCCAATAAGCACTTAGCCTTCCATTCAGAATCATCCCTATACTGCAGGTACGTGGAGTATCTAGATAACTCCTGAAACTTAGCAATGAATGTGTCTTCATCGAGGTTTCCTTGCTTAAAGGCATGGAATTCCGCTTCCTTCTCAGACCTTAACTCTGATGGAAAGTAATGCCTGAATAATTTTTCCTTGAATTCCTCCCAGGTGAGTGTAGAATCATCCCTGGACCCTGCTGTCTCCCACCAATCTCTTGCTCCTTTCACTAGGAGCACTAATGCTACTTGTACTTTTTGATTGCTGGTGCATGTGACTACTCGAAAGATGGATTCGAGTCTCTTCACCCATTCCTCTACCACGGATGGTTTAAGGTTACCATCAAACGTAGGAGGGTTAAACTTCCTAACAGTTTCCCACACATCAGTAATGGTCGGTGGGGCTCTCTGTTCCTCCTGCCTAATTTCCTCCCTTCTAAACTCATGATCTCTCGGAGTGGCAGGATGTGAGGAACTGCCTTCCCCCACATGACTCTCAACATGAGCCCTATCTCCATTTTCAGTTACCTTTTGCCTCTTTAGCTCTGTCAACTCTTGTTCGTATCCTTGAACCTTGTCTGTTAATGTTTTTACAAGCATTCTCAATTCCGCCAAGTCAGGCTCCTCATTTGGCAGTGGCGGTGGTAGGTGCTCATGTTGGAATCCTGAGTTACCACGAGTAACAGGCATTTTCTCCCTCCTAAAGGATACAAGATATAAATAATAAAATTGGCCTAGCTATATAATGGCCATACAATGAGAAGCACCATAACAATGTATATTGCCAACCGACTATATGCAATGCACCACACATAATAAATACATATTAAATTCACAAAATAATATTTCAAACAAAAGTTTAAATAAGTGTTACTAAAATAGAGGCTTGAAACATGATGCTTTGATACCAATATGTAACACCCTCAAATTTACAAACCGATTTTTTGCAAATTATTAATTCAAGAAATTATTTTTTTTTATTGAACCCTTATCATACCCTTATCATGGTAGAAATTTTCTACTATGATACATCCAAGACAATATATCACAGGTCTTAAAATATCTCAAAAAAAGCAATTAGAACCATGAGGGACAGACAGGATCCTCATGTCATGATATTCAAATCAGATCATAAATCAAGAGGGACGGACATAATCCTCTTGGTCATATAAATACTTTTAATAAAAAGGATTAGAGTTTACATGCTTCACAAAGAAGATATGTCCTAAGTTGGCACAAGATACATTGTATAATCTAAAATAAGAGGCAACGTAAAAGATGGTGTCTCATACACCATAGTTACACCTCTGGTGCTTTCTCGGCCGGACTCGCTCCTGTAAAAATATTAATCACGGGAATGAGACTTAAAAGTCCCAGTAACCAAAAATTAATATGTAATGATGCATGCGGATGTAACTAATCATGCGATTGCTAAGTGGGCACACAAAACATTTAACCGAACAATACTTTCAAACAAACCGAACAAGTATTTAATTTGCATGACTGCACCTTATATCCTCCTTTCGCCATGCTCGGACGCCAAATCACCCAGCCAAAGGTGAGTTGGACCAAGCGACACGCCACTCATTGGGTCCAATGAGGGCTTACCACGTGGTAATAATTAACCGAACAGAAATTTCCATTAACACCATACATTAAAATACCCTGACAAGTCATGCATCATTCAAATATCCAAACAGAAATATATCCGAACAATAATATCTCATCATGATAAACAAAAATAAATTTTTAACCCACTTGGCAATGATTTCACAGAAGTATATAACAGTATTTATTTTCAATAATTCATAATTTTTCCAAACAACAAAACAACACATAACCATTCACAAACACACCCATCACAACACATTAATAATGGTTACCTTGTGTCTTGAATAACAAGTTCCCCTTCACAACTCCTTTTTCACCACTATCTTTGTCAATATAATCTACATAATTATTTCACAATACTATATATTAATTTTACATTAAAATAAATAACTCTAATTTAAAGAGTTAGAAAGTCTTAGATCTATAGTCCATATTAACACTAATTTAAGATTTATGCCTCATTTAACTTCCCAAATTCTTTTCTAAAATTCTCGTACCCTAATGAACTATTTTTTTTTATCCTCAATTCACTTCTAGTATCACAATTTCATCCTTCTATATTCTAAAAATTCATCCAAAAATAAATTAAAAATTTTAGAATTATCCTGAAGCCTCAAATCACCTTTCTATAACCTCAAAAATACCTATTCATACTTAAATAAATATTTAATAATCATAGGTTTATCCCTACGTCTCAGATTCCACATAAATTCAACCATATAGATCTAGATTTTAACTCAAAAATTCTTAATCATGAGTTTCAACCTCAAAAAAATATTCTATAATATTTATTATATCCCTAAGAGTTTTAACCTATATTTTTACTCCATCATATCATCAGATTAACTATCCTATAGAAAAATCCTAATCAGAATATTTACTCTATCCTACAAAATAATCATATCACTAGAAAGCTAATATTATTTAGAAAATAACTATAAAATTAATTTTGTAATTAAATAAATTTTTAATGCTAATCTAAACAGGAAAGCTAGAACATACCTGAAGAAAAAAAAAATAATTCCCCCTTGCGAGAAAAACGCCGAGCAACGTGAGAGGAAGAGAGAAAAATAATATAAAAATGGGATTGTGGTCCCAAAATTATATTAAAAAAATTATAGGTTTGAATTTAATTATTCAAACCTTTGGGCCAAAAGTTACAATTTTCTCTAAATTGCATCTTAACCTCTTATGCTTCCTAAACATGAAGGCACCTCTTTTCTTTCCTCATCTAACCAATGTGGGACTTAGAAACAACAACCTTCCATCCTCCCTTTTTTTTGTTCCTTCTACCTTCTCTTTTTTTTTTTAACACACAATAAAAAAATTTTTATGTATTATATCTTAACTAAATATTGCTTATGTGATTTTAAATTTAAATTTTTAAATTTATAATTAAATACCTAACCATAATATCATTTCTAAATAACCTCAAATAATATAAATTCCTATTATTATCATTTTTTTCCTCAAAACCTAAATTCCACAATTTCTTTATTATATAAAAATCAGGATGTTACATAATCTACATACCACGATCAAATTCATCATACTCCACGTATCAAATATCACATGTTCATCGATTTTACAATTACATGCTTCATTTATCAATAATCACATGAGTATAAATGTAATATTCTCAACAATTCAATACAATCTCACATACATAATTTCATCATGTTGCTAACATTACATCCATGGGTTCTTGACCACCCAAATAAACTTTCAAATAAATTAGTTCAACTAATAAATAATTAACATACAACTATACAAACAAGATTTTTCCCCGATCACTTCAAAACCTTTAATAGGTCAAAGGATACCCCTTAATCACAACTTGCTTTTTGAGCTAAATTCAAACTCACCGATGCTTTGTGAGGTTAGTCTACAAGTACATTAACAACCTATCACTATAATCAATAAAATCACTATTTCTAATATCTAATTTCATAATTTAATAATCAAATTTCTCAACTATAAGATTAACCTCACATCTAATGTGTTTCTTAACTCCTTTATTTAGCTTTCAACAACTTACATAATTACTAATATATCATTTAACAACCCAAAATAATATTAATGTCATAACTTACTCACTTTCAACTCTCAAATTTCAACCACTCTCAACTCATGAGTTTAATCACCACATTAGATTTATTAACTCATATTAGCTTTAACTAACTTTATTAAACCTATCTACTGCTAATAGTGGCTTCCAACAATCCTAACTTTTATCACTAATGGCATTTAAATGTACAAATTTGTTCATAATTGAGAGTCCACTCTCATGGATGCATAAGACCATTATATGTAGGCTTAGATCACTCAAACAACTCTACTAGTCTTACTCAGATGAATGGGTTCGGACCCATAACTCTAAGTTCAGAAATCATCATCTCCTAACCTTAAATCTTACTTTCAAAACTTGTAAGGAGAAGAAGGGATAAGGAAGGCATACTTCAATGAAATCAAGTTCTAATCATCTCCAAAATGCCTAAAAATTGATGCCCTAGTAGAGAAAAAACTCTCTATCACTCTTCCCTCTATTTTTGGTCCATTTCTCTTTGTTTTGAATGTTTGTGTTTTTAAAGAAAATTGGTTTTGAAAATTACGCTATAGCATAAATTTTTATGTTGCAGTATAACGCACAGTGGGCTAAAAATTCAATTTTTTTTTTTTACAATTTGAGTCCAAGAGACCTAATTCACTTCAAACCCAATCCAAAAGCTAAAAGCAAACTCAATGGCCATCTCTAACTATTTTCAAATTCATTTGTATTTAAATTTATAAATTCACCCTTTATTAGCTTAATTAATCAAGAGGATAATTTTTGGGATGTTACAGTAAAAAATTTTTAACTTTTAAATATAATAAGGCAAGAGTGCATATTAGATATCTTGTAATTTTATGTAAGGCTTTGGTTTTATTTTTAAATTTTATAAAATATTTTTTTAGTCTTTGATCCTAACACTTGGTCTCCAAAGATGATCTTTTTGTGCCAATCATTGTTATTTAAAAAAAATTAAATTTAACATGTCAATATTTAGAAGTTTAATTTTAATTTTTTTAGTTAATGATTCTATCGATGTTTGAGTTAAGGGGCTAAAAAATATATTTTGAAATTAAGGGTAGTGGCTGATGTTACCCTTAAAACTAGATTGTAAAAGATAATGGAGGAAAAGGTAATAATGACGAGCTCACAGAAGAAGTCAAATGCCCCGGAGACCTACTCTCCTACTTGTCAATGTCATTCCTTGGTTGTTTCATTCCTAAAATGATCACAAACAATATGGTATACTTGCATTACATGGACAACATTGGAGATAAGTTGTAAATCACTAATGGAATAGGCTATAAACTGTTTATGTTGCTAAAGCCGTCGTAAGAATTCATATCATCCATACTAAGGCCAAGCTTAAGGTTCCTCGAATCTTTACTAAACTTGGGAAATAACGTACCAATTTTCTTACATTGTTCCAAATCAACTGGATGTCAAAGATTTCCATTAGAAATTCTCTCATCTGTATGTCATCTCAAATTTTTTGTATCCTTTTTATTAGCAAACAATCACTTAAATATCGATATGATTGGAAGATACTTGTTTGCCCTCCCTCTTTTCAGAGTTTACCCCCAAGTGTAACACATACACCCTTAGGGTTTAATCCCATAACCTCTCCTACTAAGTGAAGAAGTAGGCAACATTAGCACCATTAAGCTAATCAGCTTAATTTCATAAGTTAAATTCACCATTCATAAACTCACATTGAATACTAATCATCATATAACATTTTCAATAATCATAATTTCAAATCATCTTTTGTTTCATAAAAGCAAACATACT